AAAAAGAAATTAAAAAAGAAAGAAAGAAGAAAAGCTTACAATGGAATTACTGTAATAACCTTTACACGTTACCCTCATCGGCCCAGTATCCTATTCGTTAAGCTGTTCATAACGGACACATATAAGATTTCTGTTTCTGTTATAGCTGAAATCCCCAATATCAAGTTGTTAAGGGCATTTTAGTCTTTTAATTGTCCAAATACCAACTGGGCACCCGCAGTTTCATTGATAATATCCAACGTGGACTAGACCGCGACGTCACCAAATGAGAGAACGAAAATTAACATATATTTTTACAAATACACCCCTCAAACTGAAAAACTTGCGAACCTCAACATGAGCGTGGCTAGGTTCCGTCTCATAATTCCTCATATGACACCATACATATAAAGCTAACATTCCATCAAAGTCCTCATTACAATTCCAATCATCATAGAAACTAATAAAAATGGCTACGTCAGACTTTTCCGTCATGATCGGCCAGCCAACGCTCGTTGCTCCAGAGACTCTGACGCCTCATGAATTCAAGTACTTATCGAACATCGATGACCAAATGGGCCTCTGTAATCACATTCCGTTCATCCATGTCTACCGCGGGCCTCAAAACGGACCAGGCTGTGACTCTGGACCAATTATACGTCAAACTCTGTCTCGGACTCTGGTTCACTATTATCCATTAGTAGGGCGGCTGAGGAACGGAGTGAAGGAAAAGCTAGTGGTAGAGTACATCGGAGAGGGCATGGTTTACAGAGACGCGGATGTAGATGTTACGATCAAACTGCTATGCGAAGCCACCGGGGGCATCCGATGTTGGATTATTTAACGATCTAGGCATGAGAAATTGAACTAGAAAAATAGATCTAAATTATCGTTCACCGTCGAAAACAATGAAAGTCTTCTCCTCTCTCCTCCCGTAGCCAATGATGGGAATTAGGTCTCTTTTCTGCGTACGGTTGAGAGGAGGGACTCCCACCCTTTAAATAGATATTTGTGATTAACCCTACCCATCATGGTTTAATCACAACCGTGAGATTACACTCCGGTTGATCCTATCCTTCAGATATTCAAGATAACCACCCAACTTGATAAACTTGAAACTGTCTAACCAGACCATGTGGTTAGCATCCTAATCCTAACTTGAATCGATGGCAACTTTAAATCAAATCCAAAATCGAGTAGGTTGGGCCACTTGGGTTCGTTGGATTAATCGAACCCAACAATCTCCCACTTGGCACAACATACCTCATTTTAATTTTCAAAAATATTTAAATTTTCAAAACTTTCAAAAGTCGGGTGCGCACCCATTTATTTTAGAAAACAACTTGTTGCCATGATTCTAATTAGGATAGTTTCCGAAACCTTTTCCTTAAAACAAAAGTACCACTAATGGTTGATCGTGAAAACACTATATGCTCTAATATGGCACAAGGTCACTCCACGGTCCAACCGCTAGTACCACTAATGTTCTAAAGACATTTTTCTTATGGTGGTTTTAGTGGAGTGTAATAGAGCCGTACATCCCTTATGGTCAAATCCGATGTACGCCCTTAAGCGTCCTCTGCAACATACACAAACATGTATGCCGTTCTCAAACTTTTACCGGCATCCGCCATGTGAAAACCATCACCTTTAGGGCTTGTTTGGATTGAGGGGAATGAGGGTGAAGGGAAGTTAGGGGAACCATTCACCTCCATTCACCTTGTTTGGGAACACTTAGGAGGTGAAGTTAATTCACCTCCATTCACCTTGGTTCACCCCCTAATAGTATAAAAATTGTTACCCCCAAATTGGGGTGTAACCAAGGGGAAGGGAATTCCCTTCCCTTCCCTTCCTTTCCCTTCCCTTCCCTTCACTCAGTTTCCCTTAACTTCCCTTCACCCCCTACGAATCCAAACAGACCCTAAGGGAAACTGAGTGAAGCACAAATTTAAGAGTCTCTTTACTTTAACATTTATGACTCTATGGACCACTGTCTTTAATTCGAGTTTCATTACGATTAACTTGAAACTCTTTACTTTAAACTTTAGTTTTCTTTACTTAAAAAATATATATCAAGCAACAATGATCAATAACACAATGCTTGAAAATATCAAACTGCTAATATATATAAAAATTAGCACAATAGTTTCTTTATGAGCTCAAAGCAATCCAGAATATAGTACTTGAAAATAAAACAAAACTACCACGACAACTAAATCTCACTGATCATATAGAATCGAAAGACTCTAAAACACCCATACT